CCCCAAAACCCCAAAACCCCAAAACCCCAAAACCCCAACTAGCCATCTAAGCATTGTTAACTACTAATTAATCATTTTATTAATAAATTTTATTTCCTTTCAGATAAATATGGATTTACCAAAATGTAGCCAAAAAGACTGTTACACAGTATCTTCTTTCTGCATTAACAAGCAGAAATATGTATGATCAACCTGTCTTGTGACTAAACTAGGCCCTCTGGGAGATCTCGGTAACAGTGAGAATGCAGAAAATGAGACTTGAATGCTGATCAGCTCAAAAGCTCCTCTGAAAACTCTCAAGAAGGTTACTAACTCGCTCCAACTGCTTGAGTTTGTCATTGAAGAGAAGCATTCAGGGGACTTTCCTGATGAGGTCAAGGAGCTAATTGAACATTACAACAAGAGAAGTCAAGCTGTCAACGACAAACTCGAGCAAGTGATCGGAGCTAAAGAGCACTATAAATATAAAAGTATCCAGGATGAAGCTCAGCTGGTCCTGGAAGATCTCAAGAAGGAACAATTGTTCATTACCTTTGCAGTAGATCACATCCTTGAACAAGTAGTTCAAGAAAATCCTGAAAAGTCCCAAATGGGACTTGATCATGCCATCATCGAGTTCAAAAATAAAATGGATTCTACAATTGATGAAATGGAAAAGGAACGAGATGCTCTTGAGGCTTCCAAAAATAATGAAATAGTTGCCCTAAAAACACAGCTAGAAGAAAACCAGCAGAAGCTTGAAGAAGCAGATGCCATGAACAAACAGCAACGTGTTAATTTTATGGAAAGATCCCAAACCCTCCAAAAGACTTTTCGAGAACAACTTGAAGAGTTAAAGGTAACAAAGAAAGAAGAAATGGAGCATCTAAGCAAGACTTTCAACTTGAAGAACTCGGATAAGAAGAACCCTGAAGTCCTTAGGCTCCAAAAGACTTTAGAGGAGTACCAGAAGAAGCTTAAGAAGAAAGACCAGGAACTCTCCACACATCAGGAGGTAAGTCTGTAGAGTCATTTGTAGGAAAAAGCTAAGATCAAAGAATTAATAGCACAGAAAGAGAAAATGGAAGAGGAGATAAAACAGATGCAAGATGCCCTCTCATCTATTTCTGATTTAAAGAATGGCTCATATCTACATGAATTCTTGGAGTCTACTCTTAATCCATCGCATCCTCGAGATCTTGAGATACTGTACAAGTTTTTAACCAAGAAGCAGCCGTTGATAACTTCTCATTCAAAGTTAAAACTTGACTTGAGCAATCCAGGAGACCTTGAGTTCATTAAGCTAGTGAAGAGCAGGATGCCAGACATGGATAGAATAGATATAAGGAAGATACCTAAAGATTGCCAGCCTTTGGAGACCTTTATAGAGCAGGCTTTTCCAGAAAGTGTTAGGAGATTCGATTTTAACAATGATTCTAACTTGGACATGAGCAAGAGAGGTTTTGAAAAATACATGCCACTCCTTCTTTCTCTCCAACCTCGCATCTCTGAATGATTATTTTTATATACCTTCAAGATAACCCAAGATCAGCTCAGCACTCTCTTCTCCACTTACACACACTTAAAGACTTTTGGGTTTGCTTATTGCTCTCTAGATCTGACTACTCCTCCTTCCTTCCCTCCCTTACCGTTGTGATGCTTGAAGTACCTATATCTTAACCACTGTGGGCATCCTCCTTACAGCGACTGGGTAAACAGCCCAGAACAATTTGAGAACCTCATCAAAGGCCTTGGCCAATGCCAAGGCATCAAAGAAAGCCTCAAGGAGATCTCCATTGCAGGGTGCGGCCTTGAGGTAGATCCTACTTCACAAGCCAAAGCTGATATGTAAGGAATTTTAGCTAAATTTGGAAGTTTTTTTGTATATTTTAGCTGAAATAATGCAAATGAAATCATTATAGTTTACACTCAGCATTTATACATTACACTAGAGTATTATTCTCTTTTGCACTTGTTAGAGTTGTAAAGATAAGTCCGAAAGAAACCTAGTCTAGGATCGCTCAAGATAACTCGATAATTCTATTTGACAAATCTTTATGAATTTTACCTTTCCGCTGATCTTAAAGTATAGGAATTCTCATACTTCTCTACAGAGAGAAATAAATCAAAATAATTTTCAGACTTTTTGTATCAATATCAGAGAAATGCTAGATCAATACGGATTAGAACATGTTGTAATCAAGCAGTAAGAATGTCATCACTGATCATTATACTCTCCATGCTTCTAAACTGGCTCAAAACAATCTATCCAGTCACACAACCATCATTCTAATATTCCCTCAATAAAAAGTATAATTCCATAACTTAACCCCTCAAAATCGTTCTTCCATCCAGCACAACAGCCTAAAACATTGTATACCTGCCATTTGCTCCTAAAGCCCCCTTCACACCCATCAACTTTCTAAAATGTTCTTAATTCTCCCCTTCTTTCACACTGCTAAGCCTCTTGACCAACTTCAAATGCTACTTTGTTAGAGCCTAGATGAATTAGTACTTGAAAGCTGAAATGAAGGTAATAAATGGTTATGTTCTCAGATCTAATTAATTTAACTTTGGCTTTGGTTCCAGTATATAAGAGACCAATGAGTAGGCTGTTGGGTAAGCTTTCAAGTCGATCTTATACAAAAACAATCATTAAAAATGAGTAGTCAACATGGATTAATGGTCTGGGGTTTTGGGGTTTTGGGGTTTTGGGGTTTTGGGG